TCTCCCAGTTTGTCCGATGTAGTGTTTTGAACAGTTCTTGCAGTTTATTTCGTAGATGACGCCGCTCTTGTCCTTCTCCATTGTTTCCTCCTTGGGTTTGGACAGAAGTCCCCTTCTTCTTTCTATGAGCCAAAGTTCTTTTGATGAAGTTGCGGGGTTAGACATTACGAGCAAACACTTTGACGAGGTATTTTTCTTCTTTCTTCTTGAGTATTTTGGTGCTGCAGTGCGTTTGGATTCTTCCGAACAGGGTTTTAACACCGCATCTTTTGTGGCTGTGTGGATGATTACGTTTGAAGTTTCGGATTTGATCTGTATGTGTTGCCTTGCGGTAGACCGTTGTCTCCAGTTTTCCTGATGGCGTTCTGATGATCAAGGTGTTCGAAAATTCCAGCCTCACCGGTCTAAATAGATCCAGCTGTGCCTAGAGAATACAAAGATGATTAGCCAATTTCTCTAAAGGTTATTACTTTCCTCTGAATTCGTATACCCACGGGGAGAATTAGCTGAATGTTTTCTCGGTAATCCATGCACGTGCCGGTATATTAGCCTTTTTCGGACCTGACTATAGTCATATTTTCGGAAAACCATATTGGAATTCTCAACAGCACTACTAAAGACAAGCAGCAGTCAAAAAATTACAACTTAGAATAGATTGCCCTGTAGCTTGAACCCAGCTCCGGTTCACATAGCGCGTGTGAACACATTGAAGTTACTCAAACCGATCTTACCTCGTATCCAATTTGGACTGCTTTTCCAACCATCCCAACACCGCATGTGACCACAGCTACAGAAAACGTAACTCTCGAAAAAGTTGAATCTCGATGTTCTCCATAAATCTGAAACGAGGAAAGAAAATACCAAGGTAACTGTGACAAAACAAAAACGCTTAAGCCTCTCAACCTTTACTCGTGAGTCAGTCTCTTCTGATCATTGTCCCTGCTCACAGTTATACATCCAGTGAAAATAGTAGTGACCAGTCAAAAAGGATGGGAGAATAAATAACTTATCAAGATATTCCATTATCAGACATGGGAACCGGATTTTAGGTGTAAAACGCAACCGAGTGGACTCAAACAAAGCGGGCACAGTGTCACTGAATTGTGTACTGCGTATTGGAGACTAACGTGAACTTTGCTTCAAGATTTGAATTCCGCCATGTGCCCTCCACGTCTGAAAAATCAGATCAGGCAGCGTGACACTTTACATTCGGTCCTATAAACCTGTGTCATAAATACATGGATATCTCCATAACTTTCGAACAGACACATACTCACTTACTGTCTTGTAAACAGATCAATCGATAATATTCGCTGGTTGCTATGATCTTGATTCAACATGGCTATACGTTAATAGATGGCGACTATCAAGCACATTTTGTCACAATTCTGTTAGCAGAGTCATATCTCGTAAAAGTGGTTCAGGTTGCGGGTAGGATTAAAGCACTCGAAATCGGTTACTTTATTATAATAATGAAAAATTGGACTTGAGTTTTAACCGAGCACATAAAAGTATTAAAAGAATTCAAAATAAACTGGATAGACAGGGTAATTCCATGCTTGCCTGAAAAGAGAAAAACGCGTACCGGCAAAACATCAGCAAAAAAACTCTAATGTTTAGTGACGTTGTTTGAAATGATGTCTAAATTCAGCAGAGCTTTAAATGAAATTCGTCAATTAAGTTTAGTACCTACATATGGTATTCATTTTCTTATTCCGAAATTCATATCCGATGTTGAACAATGCACTCTTTCACGATGGTCATTTCGATATCCGTTCCCTGATTTTACTGCCGACCACTTACTGTATATATATATATATATATAATGAAGTCGTGAGTGAGGTCATACTCTGAGAACGCATCTCTCTTCCAGGCCTAGCTTAAAGCTATTTCATCAGCACTGAAGGTATCCAACTCGGCATTTCCATGGCTGAACTGCGCTGACTCTGCTCGAAATCCGTCTACTGCATCACGTTTTACTGTCAAACTTTGCTAATTCCTTACTTTGCAGGCGTGATTATCACATCTGTCTGACGAAGAGCAAAACCAACCTGTGGAAGACTGGACGTCACAATTATTCACTTTTGTGTTAGTTCAATCGTCTTTGGAACGATGCTCTCCGCCATTCGGAACTCAGTGCGCAATACTCTCACGGTGGTAAACCTTGCTGAGGTCGCATCATGAACTGCAATGAAACTATTGTTAGTTTCCAAGCGCATCTTTCCTGAGATGCATTATGAAATTGACGAATTCTCCGATGGACGTTCAGTTGTATTTAACATTATAAACAGTTTTCCTTAAACAATCAAGTGATTTTGCTACATAGCTTCGAGTTGCGCCTAGCTCATTCAACATCTTCAACACATTCTGCTTCTCCTCTTCACCGAGTTTGGCAATTTCGTTACAAACGTTTCATCACCAGCCAAAATAACGTCGTCAGTGGCAGTGTTCTGGTTGTAGCCGTTCGTTTACATATGTGTTATTCTCTTCCGACTACTTTTGTCCCTTGTTCTCACTGTGGTCTAATCGGTTCACCGTTGAACTGGTACGATGGGATGCGGGTGGGAGATGTGTGTACTTTCGTGCTGACTGCGGTTTTGTTCCTCCCCCCCCCCCCCCCCATCTTCGCCCGTTCATACCAGTTCGACAGCTGGTGATGAAACGTTTGTAACGAAAATGTCGCCGAACAGGCGAAATGGAATTCAGCTCACCCGAGATACGAGAACCGATTTTCAATACTTAGTCAACGTTCGATAAATAGGCGCTTGTACATTATCAAATTTTGGACTGCTGTTATATATGTGCCTTCCTCACAGGACTGATCCACTTAGTGTCAGATCACATTGGTGGTTCAATGGTCAATCAATGGCCAGTCAATGGCCATCAGGCACCGAACAACTGATTAAGTGTCAGGTAGGGTGACAAACCGAGGGGGCGAAATTGCGTAGTCAATGCCTACGATGTTACTTATCCGGTTGGTTTGGGTTTTCTGAAAAGTGGGAACAAATTTAAAAGTGCGGTTTCTCATGGGTGAGACATAGCAGGAGGTTGACTGTAAATATGACTCACCTGGGATCACACCGAGAAACTAACTGATAAATGTAAGCTTATGACCCCTGAGCAGAGAACTAATGACCAGTACACTTACGTTTACAAAGGTCAATGCAACTCATCGTTGTGTACCGAAGTCAGATTTATAACCTAATTCAAATTAAATCAAGGACCTATGTGATCACAGTATCAGTGAGACTTTAAATAGTGAAATCGAACAAGATTTCAACCAGGCATACAGAGATTTATTCCATCCAATTAGTAAGATTATCATTCATGCTGAATTATTTAGTATTCAAAAGCTTGATACCAAATCAGTATGTTACTTTTTCACACTGAGCAGGTTAAGGTTTTGTTCTGTGTATCGTTTAAAGAGAGACCGGTGAGTACCCTTTTATGTCGACCAAACGGTGAGAAGCAGAGCTCTTTCAACAGAGACGTCTGTGAGTGGCTACCAGTCGGGAATTTGTACGAAGACTTCAATCATTCAGATTAGGAGATGTTGAACTATACGGGGAATTGGTGGCTGATGTTCTATCGTCCGGGTTAATATCACGCCTGACCTAGTAGAGCCTTATCTGGTTCATCAGTTCAAGTCCCGGGGCCGAGGTTGCTGGTTTCCATCACTGAAGAACAGGTCTTCGCGACTGTGGAAAGTCACCCCGTTTGCAGTTCATCAAAAAGGTGTGGAAAAAGCGTATATCGCAGGATGTGTTCAGTACTCTGGTTGATCAAGTAGATGTATCTCTCCGATTGCGTGTACTTCACAAAAGGAAAAACAAACAAACAGTGAACACACCTACCTTTTCCATACAGTCTGTAATTTGTGGGTCGTTGTAGTTCACTGCCAGTGGCATTTGCACCAGGGCATATCTGGTAATGATGAAGCATAGGCATCCGTAATAGAAGGCCGCAAACAGTTGTACCCAACGTCCGTAGGTTTCCCTGAGTAAACGCAAATACAACTAACATTGAAGTGATTGAAAAAGTTTACCCTTTTTATAACCTTCAAATATATCTTATGTCTTAAACAACTAGAGATCAGAAGACATATACGATAGGTGTAAACCGATGGACGAAGTTTTGTGGGGAAACGCGGAAACTGTAAGAGTAATCTGGCATGTACTGAGTGCATGGTGTGTTGATCATTTGTGGAACACGTCCTGCACAATGAGGAATAAATGAAAATCTCATGCAACCTTGAATGCTTGTGATATGAAAGACATTGTATAGTAATACAACCAGGAATCACGACTCCCTTATACTGACCAAGTCCTGAATAAGGTCACTGGTTATAAAAAGCCCTAAACGGAAACCACATCACCACCGACTGGGATTAAGCCCCCGATATTGACATTATCAAATCTATTTTGATTTCCAATCAACTCAGAATTGAAACTTATAAAAAATACCATGTATCGTCTTGTTGCAAACTCAAATCCACCGGGGTTTTATCACCATTTCTGATAGTCGCCTACAGTGTGCCTTTACCCGAATCGGTTCCCGCCTTTGTCTGAAAATTGACAGATTAGAGGGAAGATAGTGAGCAGAGTCATTCATCGCAACCACTTGGCTGCTACCATTATTTTATTCTCTACATATACGGGTCTAATAGAAACTGAAGCAACAGGTCCATGTGAAAAGCTTGTCGGTTCTTATGGGCAACAACATTTATAATGAAGAAAATGTTTTTCAAAACTAATAATAAACAAGTCTTGGAGAGTCTTTATATCCGTGATTTTTTTGAATCGTTTACACTCAGAAGATGGAATGGTTCAAAATGTAGCGGATCCTTCCATTTCGTCAGTAGTGGTTGACCTAGACCATGATGAGTTAAGAGCTAACTAAAGAGAATGTAACAGTTTTATTAACAAATTAACATTGATAATAAGCAAGATGTAAAGTTTGTGTACACTAGTAGTCGATTAGTCTGTTTTTGTTCTTTAGAACGTTTTTGAGTCTCTTCGGTGTCAAACCCACTAACTTTGTTATGAAGTCATTTTCTATGTTGTGCTCTATTACGTATCGCACTTTTGCCTCCAAGGTCCAAAGCATAGGTAGCACATTGACCTATCTCTTCAAAACAGAAAACAGATTTTCAATCACGTTGAGATCCGGGATATTAGGAGGAAGTTGCATGAACTGAGTTTTAGAGCCACGCATCTTTTCTGAAGTCTGAAGACAAATAATAAGTGAACCAGACTACTTAACTAAATAAATTTACTAATCTCTCGTGAAACATGACACGGAGCGTTATTCTGAAAAACGATAGCAGGGTGTTGCTCTCCAGCGTAAAAGACGTTCCTTCCAAATAAGAAAACGACCTAAGTTTTACATTGATGAATTGGCCATAAAGTACGCTGTTCAGCAGTTCGTTCTGTTTTCCCTCATTTCCTTTGTTCTGCTGAAGGTCGGCCTAAATTTTCTGAGGTGCAGCCCAACAGTGATCAACGGCATTTCCCGAATTCCCTTACTGGCTCAGAGAGCAAAATTGCTTTGTTGACACCAGCGTGCAGTTTCTAAACGCGCTTTCGATCAACAGCACTCACCCGATACGCACTGACCCATCTGTGTGCGAACCCCCATTTCTCCAAACTCACCAATTTCTGACTTTTCCCATCTCGAATGCTTGCGTATAAAACTCCATGATATCCAGTCTCGCCAAGATTCTGACTGATAAATTGAAAATGTTCTTCGCTATGCACTCCATTCGGTTGTTCATTCGCGTTTTTGTAAACTGCCCTGTTTTTGTTCCCATCCAAAGATGGGAACAGTGTTAGCAGTTTTAGCCATCACAACTCATAAGACGGGTTATCATGGGTCAGTGGCACTGTTTGAGTGTAGGCTTACCACTTCATTTTCAGATAGGCCGTACAAAGCGGATGTACCAACAAGTCATCGCGTCGCTTGTCTATNATCATGAGCTGAATCGGAAAGGAAAGCATAGTGGCGGGAGAGAAACGTTACAAGCATTACCTCAATGTCAAGGTTGAATCGTGCAACAGATAAAACAAAGCTTAGTAATAGCAACTGGGTTACCAAAATCATCACAAATAATGGCTACAAATCAAGTGCAACAATACACACGCATCACACGATTATAAATTTGGTTACCCAAATCAGAACACGGATGCAGCCTGATCAGTTCAAATAAAGCTGCGGGATCGAGTGGGAGATTGATCACACCGGTAAGATATCTAGTTAGCCGTAAATCCCTTTGTAGCTCAAACATCCGTACGCTTCAGGACTTTCATTTCATCAATCGAGGCCTGGTCACAATCTATGCCTAGTCCACCAATGAGAGGCGTGGTAGATAATTCGCATCAGAATGCAAGATTGATATATCTGCATAATTAGCGCTTTGATAATGCTATTTAGTATATGACTAGGAATTATGGTTGTTGTAGGAGATTGTATAATATATGAACTTCACTTCAAACTTACTCTCATCAGAGAGAATGCGGAAGTTGCTTTGTGTCTTTTGTCGCTCTTGGATGGTTGGAAAATGACGAAATCGAACTGAGTCTAGATTGGAGGAGAGGAATGGAAAAAAGCTATTATTTTCAGTCCTTGATATACTGGGGCATCCTCTCCATCACAAAAGTGCTAAGAGTTTATTACCCGAAGAAAGAATTGCCTCGGAGTTATTAGCCAATCAATCAATCAATCAATCAATCAATCAATCAATCAATCAATCAATCAATCTATCTATCTATCTATCTATCATGTTATATTCCTTATAAGTCAATGAGTAAACAAGCAGTGAATTAAGCAATTATTCTATTTCCAGTATGTAAATGCAAACGTAGCCGGTCCGTAAGCCGATGAGCAAGCAGTGCGTCAACACGCAGACAGACAGGCACAAAACTGGCACAACCGTTACCAAAAGGAGTACATCATCACGTCGTGCAGTCAACGAACCAAGCAATGCGGGCAGGTCAATACTGTCCTCTGATTCGCTGAGGCCGATCGACCTTGTAACAGAGCAAGTCCGCATGAGGTGCGTACGTGTGTGTGTGGTGGCGGGCCGCAACGATCAATCACGTGATGGGCAAACCACTCGACTGTAAGCCACAACAAATCAATCAAGCAATCAATTAATCGAAGAAGCATTTATTGGACCAGTCAATCTATCAGTTGTACAATCAATTCATCCCTTGATAGGTTCTTTTGAGATCAAAAGGAACACCTTCGTATGACACCTCTGAATGCTTATTCATTGAAAAATTCGCTTATTAAAATATGATCAGTATAAGTCTCTCAATGCAGTCAGATAGGCACTGGAAAGGCTGAAGTGATAATCTAAGCCTCTTAATGTCCGTCACTGAACCACCATTATCAACGTTGTACTTAAAAAAAGTTTTCGGGGTCACTGACGGTTCCCATTCTACCATAAAATGCTGTTGATCTCTTCCATGTATACGGTGAAATTGTACAACGTGAACGAAAACCTCCATGGGCTGACTTACACCGTGATCGGCGTGATTTCTTGTACCGCATTCCGTCACGTAACGATCCATTACGTACTGTGGAAAGAACAGAAATGCTTGCGTGTGAGCAGAGTTCATTTGTTGAAACTTCCAAATGAAACCAGACGGATGTGAGGAGATTAATCAATATCGATTGGACTGCACCAGTTGTACTTTGTGCTTCTGTTCGTGTCATGTGCGTACAAAGTGGTTTCCTTCGAGCGACATGGATTTGGTGTAAGGATATTGTTTTGAGCAATCATAGCAGGCGGTTAACCACCTGGCTACGGGAACATTAATGTGTACATTAAAGTTTGGTGATATTTATACCCTGATGCAGGAGAGTATAAGAACAGCTGAATTAGTGTGTACACGAATTAGATACCGATAGTACCACTGGCACAAGCGCGATTAGAAAACGTTTTACTCAAATTATGTTTATATACATTTACTGAAATACACTCAGATAGTCATAACCTGAAAGGACTAAAGTCACCTTCACTAATACAGATACAATCGGTAGTCAAGAATTAGTGATTATCACTATAGACAGTGTTGATTAGTTTTATCCAAGTTTAAATGAACAAACGCATAGGTAAAAAATTTCCATCTGACCCAGGCACTGGTCTACGTATACGTGCCCCGACCACAACATGGATTGTAATGGAAACCTGTGGGGGCTGCTGATTGATTCTGGACTGGACGACGGTCACAGTACGACGCTCTGGTTCCTTCAGCATTTAGCCCATGAAACACGGTGGCTCACTTTGTGACTGCACGCAAGCCTACGCGCGTGCACGTGCTCGCAACCTCGCAACCCGTGCAATGTCCTGTGAGATAACGTGATACTAAGTAGTTGATCATTATTGAATACCACAGCTCATGATCAGACACAAGTTGACCAACTGGTCTTGGAAGTAAACTATTAAAAAGACTAGGTGCGGCGGCGGCTCCGGGGGGTGGGGTGAACTGCGGTTGGATGATGGATACAGTAGGCTTTTGAAGCAAAGCGAATATTCCTCGGTTAAAATTAGAATACGACTTTGCGGTTAACTGGTAACGGATAGAACGGATAAACCGATTCGATCACGAGGCCAGATGGACAAAATTTGCCATAGCGAGAATGTCAAACAAAGTTGGCCGTGTAACTGAAATCATGAAACAACGAGACAGACAAGAGAGACTACGCTTGTTTATACATCAAAGTTGAGTTAAGCTGTCTTATAGGAGTTCAGTGATAGAGGCTTTACTGATAATGGTCCAAGATAACCGTAACGAATGGATCGATCGTTTTCACCTTGCATCAGGGACAACACAGCGCATGGTCTAATCGGAACGATCGAGACGACTGCTTCACTCTGACTGACCAAAGCGGTGGTAAACAGTGTTGATGCTTGTAGGTCAAATGCAAACCAAATCTAAAGGCTAGGTAGGCTAGGTAGTTATGATCATTACAATCAGTTGTTGATCGTTTAACACCGGAACAACAAGATGACCCACATATACTATTTAGAGTAGCGAGAACTTCATTTTACTCCCTTTCGGGTTGTTCGCTTTACTCTTTAGCTGATAGCAACACTCAACATGAATCATGAACTACGCACCGCCATTTCTTGGATCGATAAGAACTAGGGTTAAAGGTAACCGCCAAATAAGATGAAAACGGAATAATTAAAATGTTTGAAATGACACGAACAGAATNCATCAAAACAGCAAGAGTGTGTACATGGTGTATGTATGTCATGACGTCAAAAAGTTTCATGAAAATGATCAAAGTAGCACTGAGGATAGCAGACAGTTAATCGGGAAAGATCGTCTAAGTTTGATCAATCAGTAAGTAATCACACACTACTACGTTACCATGAGGGCGTAATACATAGGAATATAGGCAAAAAGGGAAAATAAGTTTGAACAACTGAATGTCGTGAACAACAGCGTTTGGGCATCTACTCTTTTCTCTGTTACTGGTAATTTTAAATCACTTTTTTGAGTTACTTTTTACTTTTCGTTTACCCTCGTATGCATAGTGTTTTATTGTTCTATCAAACAGATGTTCGACACAAAAAATACGAGATTACAAATTTTACAAGAATCCAGAATGAATCGACTCAAATCGGTGCGATTCATCTCCGAAAGAAAACTTGTTAGTCCATCGATCTCCGTGCATTCGTAAATGGTCTACCGAATGTGTCAAGGTCAAAAACAATACTGTTTGCCGACGATGCCAAAATTTGGAATACAATAACAGAACCCGATGACTTGATAACACTTTAGGAAACACTTAACACAGTTTATCATTGGTCTAAGTAGAACGACATGAAGTTCAATGTGTCTAAATGCAAACTCCTGTCCCTACACCACAAGAGTGGATTCTCGTGTTTCCGCGGAAGTCAGCAGCTGCCACATACCTCAGGTGAGAAGGACTTAGGTATAACTGTTCAAGAGGGCTTAAGCTGTTCGATCAGTTGCTCTAGGGCTTCGTCCGCTGCTATGAGGAATGTCGGCTTGCTTAGGCGAGAATTTGATAGGTTTGAATCAGTACTGTTCGTACGTTTGCTATCGCTGTACATTCGAGCGTCCACAGAGTACGACATCCAAGCTTGTTCATGGTCACAACCAGAAAACGTGGGCTACTCTCTTCCTTTTGCAAGTATATCAGCGAAGAACCAGTAACATTATTGGACCGATAATTCCGGTTTTCAGTGTTCGTCAAATTGACCGGGAACATTTCCCATCATAACTCTGAATGTCATTGCCTGAATCGTTATTTCAACTTATCGTCATCATTAGTATTTATTCGATAGCCTAGAAATATATGCAATTCGTTTTTTATCGTGTACTTCCATCGCGGTATGGCTACACATACTGTCGAGTTTGATTCAGTAGTTACATTCACGCCACTGTGTGATTTTTTGTTTGGCTTTTGTTTGTTCTCCGTACAATACACAACAGATAAATGCAAAATCAACACACAGCTTTGCATCGTAGAGGAGTGCAATATATTTAGGGGAAAATTGTCATTTCGAAGTAATGTGTCATACGGCACCATTATAAAGTCATTCTTTTCAGGTATAAAGCGAGCTTGTGGAGGAGAAAGTACCGGAACCAATACTCACAGTGGTCAAAGTGGGCATGTTGTTTATGAGGCCTTCCAACGGGCACTGATCAGTGTTGCGTAACATTTCTACTATTTCAGGCCATCTGAACAGGATGGTAAACAGGTGGATGCAAATCACTTTACAGTAACATTGAAAAACGAATAATATAAAATCACAANTTATTGACACGAATTATTTTGTATCGAATGGAATCACATTCGGCATGATCTCTTCTAAAATATAAACATTGATCTGATATTTTTCTTTTCCATCTGTGTATTCGCCACGGGGGCAGGGTGGGGTTGAAAACGGTTGGATACAACATAGGCTGAATTGATAAATGAAGACACTACTGCAACGCGGTTAACAAAATATAAACATAACCAAGAATCAGGTTAACGGAAATTTTGAAAACTTCGCGATGCTTACTACCATACAAAATGACTCCGGGAATGGAGTTGGTAACTTTATGGATTCTGTTGTATCATTCGCCGACCAACAAAAGTGATTCCAAGTAAAATAATAAAGCATTTTCGTGAAATCCTATTTCACTTTGTCTTCTAACTACCTACAGCAGATGCTGTCTGAATTTGAAGCGGTGAGCTTACGCAGAATGTACAGAAAAGATATTTCCCACGCAGATTGAACTCAATACATGTAGAACCCTAATACCGGTTTTGAAAGCAGTTTAGAAACCAACGGTTGGGGTTAGGAACAAAATCCAGATTACCTTCACTGTGCCAATTTATTCTTCTCATTAGTTTGTGAAAAGCAAAATACCTAGCCCCCAAATGCTGATGCTGAAATAACGTAAATTCGAATGCAGATGGTGATGCAACAAATGATAGGAAAATGAGTAATTGTTTCATGAAAAACCCCCCAAGGTTTTCCACCAGTTTTATATTCCTAGTGTAGAATCTAAACCTAGGTAACATTGTGTAGTGGTCCTTTGATTCCATACGCCTAGTATGTAGTTAATAACACCTAAGCCCTAGCCAGAACTGTGAATCTGTAATTTATTTCAAATAAAGCATATCGAGTCTCCCTAAAATGAACATTAGTGAAGTACAAACTTATCTGAAATCCTAGCAACAGTCTATAGAAGAATCATTCAAATACCACGACTAATTCTAGCAGTTTGCATGAAATGATGATTATCTCGTCAAAAAATTTATTGCTTGTGTACAAAGGATGCGCACGTTTCCTCCAACCCCATCGGACCGTTGAGCTGTCTTGATATTATCTCTATTTGTTTTCCTTGTGAATGTTCTCGACATTCAAGGAATATTGGCCGAGTAACCACCGTTTTGCGATCGGTTCAGCCTGAAGAAATTTGCTGTTTCATGTCATACGAAAAGCGAAGAAGCCGTTCCATCACAGATGAATAAAACATGATGACTGCGGACATTTGAGATATCTACCCAGCTATGAATCCGCACGGTTTTCGGTAATATGCTGATAAAACACATGAAAATAGACGCACCTCGCGTGAGCTGTAACTGTTTTGGCTGCGACATAATTATCCGCTTTCATTAGGTGTGTGGTGAAATAGATACCCCGACTATCCGGTACTATCCTTGCACCAGATGTGAGAAGATAATCGATCACCTGGGCATTCTTGAACAAGGCAGCAAAATGCAATGCGGTCATCTGTCAGACAGGATCAAGGTAGGAAAACGGGGTGGAAATGGGATAGAGAGCAGAGTTCATTGAACTTTAAGAAAGCATTTTCAAACAGGGTTTTGACAAGTACGTCTGAAGGCTCAGTTGAGCATTGCAGATTTTGGTTCACCAACTCTCCATCGAGAAGTGTGAATGACACGCGATACACAGACGGTAAAGGCACACTGATATTTCGGCGATAGGCCCCATCGGACCCTCGCACGCATTACCAATGCGTAGTGTTCTAACAAACACTGGATGAGCGATTAGTCTATTTTGACTGGATCTACGCATCACAGTGCTAGTGTTCAGTGAGCGCTAGGTTTTATTACACGCGTTTGGTGGGATGTACAATAAAAGGGGTGATACCTACAGGTATGAAGCGGGGATTAAGCTCAAAACTGAGTCATGGGACTTGGGTTAGACCATTTGGATAGGCGAACTATGGAGCCGGGAGACGGTAAAGCTGGTTGACGGTGGTATGATTCCGATCTAGGACCTTCAAGCCCAAACATGCAAGTGACTGCGAGTTGAAACTTTGCAGAACCGCTACAACTCTTGTGTTTAGCCTTTAAATGGTGAAGTTCTTTATGGTGTACATTTGCAGTGATATTCATTGACGCATTCACCTTCGCAGTTAAAGCATAGACACATACGCATGCATCAATCGTTGATGAACTATGAGAATACGTGCTTGTATAACGGAGCTTGTTTCAAGCTACGCAGAAATCTTCACTAAAGAACTGTAATCTTTAACTCGTGGTTGTCTACAGGAACGCAGCTGAGAAATCGACTTGAGTCATTTGAGAATTTCACTACTTGGTGCACGAGAACTCCAAATCCGAAACCATTTGATCAGATGGACTTCGATATATGATAAAATTTTAATGGTTTTTATTAAATCCAAAATAATAGAAACGATATTAAATACGCTACAGACGTTCGAAGCAATTTTTATCTTCACAAAATTCCTCAATTTCAATCATTTGCAATATTATTTGCTCTTGAATACCATCAATGTCTTTCTGGTCACCTGCTTCAAAGCCTTGTACATAACCGAACGGGTTTGACAGCATTAGTTGGGAGGAGTTAAATATTTTGGTTGTCAAGTTATCAATTGTTTTTGTAATACAGATATGTCGTCAGACTCAGCTTGTTTGTCTCGGGAGTGATTCCGTACGCAGAGGAAGCTCGTTCTACTTACCCCTCGATAATTGGTCTCATTCAAAAGGCTCGGATGCGTGCTCAGTAAAGCTAAACACGTTTCAGCATTGCCTTCCATTGCAGCATAGTGTAGGGGCGTGTTACCCTCGTGGCATCTAAAGTTGCAGACAATTAAAAAAATTGTATGTTCAGACAATGAGCTCTTCAAACTGATAGCGTGGCGTTTTCATATACCATTTGCAAAGCAAAACGTGGTCACTCTTAAATTCACAATATTCATCGACAGTAACTACTTTGAATGTTTTTATGGAACCAACAAACTGTATGTTATGAAGTATCAACCTAAAGGTTGATCAGATGAGACTACTGTGTCAACTAGTGATTGCCATATGTTGAGAATCAAGGTGACAGACTGTATTCGGAATAGGAATCGAAATCGAATAGCGCAAACTCGGAATCGGACTGAAAACCCACTGAATAACGCAAAGTCAGGTAGAACCAAGACAGTTAATTTTATTCAAAAAAATCATGCAAATATATATCACAAGCATTAAACAACCATTGGTTGATTCTACAATATCTAATCGACAAGAATACTGTTTGTTTGTTTGTCTTCTTGTATTCAGCCACTCCGGTTGGTGCCAATTGAGACCACAGGATTGGTCGATAATTCCGTTTAATGATTGGTTACCTGGAAGCTGTACCGTGGTGCGCGCGTACTCGTTACACGATCACTGCACAGATGTAACTCAGTTACATTTAAAATAACTAAGACCATTGTATCGTCTGTGAATCAGGCGAAGAAAGTCGACCGTTTCGTTTTGACCTTTTGCTTGTTGTGAAAGACGCATTTGGTCTGATTAAACTTTCCAGTTTCGAGTTTTACGGGGTAAATGACGAACATCAATAACCAATAATCAGTTAAATTTGAGCGACAGTTACTAGATTCACAACTTTTTGGTCCAGTTCCATTGCGTTCTTCTAAAATGGACCTGTCAGAATAGTGATTTTGTATCAAAGATCATTCCACATCTTTTCAGGCATACCTCATCTGGTTAAAGTTAAAATCTAAAGGCACAATCTGAATTCGAGTTCTCAAGTAACGAAACAAAACGAGAAACCTGAATTGTTTTCAGTAAGCCAAAATTATATCAACTCATCTACTGAGTACAGTATTAACTGGTTAGTACAGGAATAAAACTACATCTATTCGACGCTTCGATCTCGGAGTATGAAGGGTAGATTAGCCTGTAACTGTAAGTTGATTGCATATCGGGATTATATTATTTTGCGTTCAGGGATTGCCTGACCGAATCATGAAAACATAACTGCGTACGAGTAAACTGAAACGGGTATATTACACGACAAAGTATTGTGTATGAAACAAATCGTGGTTACCTAACGCAGTTTTTCATGCTCCATGGCAACCTCAAACAGGTTTTAAGAGGTAGTTTTCATGGTTGTGTACTTACCGTCGAATAAGACAACCTTTTCTCAAAAACAACTCTACCACTCGATGAAATCCGTACTTTGCTGCAATATCCAGAGGTAGCCTGCCTTCTTGGTCTCCTCTACCTAGTGCACGTGTTCCGTCTTTCGATTCCAATATTAGGCGACAAATTTCATAGCGACCAAATTGTGCCGCGGTGTGAAGTGCGTTGCTTCGTTCAATATCAGTTGCCAACACGTTCCCGCCGAAACGTAGTCCAATTTGAATGGCTACCACTAGGCCAAGACGAGCTGCGATATGCATGAACGAGCATCCCCAGTTATCCTGGTGATTGATCATCTCCGTGAGCTTCCCTGTCTGTCACAGTGTTAAAAAAATGAAAAGGATATGAAGACAAGACATGCTATTTTCACTGTCGGAAGTGGGACATATTGATCCATTTTTTTCCTTACTCTATCTTAGAGTTTTCATACCGATTGTGCACCACATTTCCATCAGTTGATGCCACAGAATACTTCAAAGGTCATTTTAGAAACCGACTTTTTGCGCATAGTTTGTTTTTATCAATTATAATGACGTTGTTCTGGCGGTGATATCCAAGTGGTTGGGGTATCATTAAAATAGCGATCCAGAAGTCCCGGATTCGAACCGCTCCACCGCTGCCCATCTTTCCTGTTTCAGTTTTTTCACAATCAACCTTTGTATGACAGCGGCCCCCTTCCTGAAACTTGACTGTACATTTGTTAATTCAATAAATAAAAATGAAAATAAAATGCATTCTTACAATAAAGTAGCTGTAAATGTCTTCAGAATAGAAAAATGATTTTGTTTTCTAGTAAATGCATAGATTGTAATAATATGCAATGAAATAAACAAAAAATTGTGGCGTGAACGTAGCGGTGATTAGGACCACTATTTGAGGTATTATGTGTTCGGGTCCGAACACAGCTGTTTAATTTACCCCATTTTCCATGACCCTTAAAGCAGCTTTTTGATTGGTCACTTCTCTATCGCGGAAAAATGATTATTTATTTATATATTCAATAAAACGAACTGAAAAATATAAAATTAAAAACATCATCCAGTGACATTGTAACGAGAAGGCGAGCTGGCTGGGAAAACGTTTATTGATCCAATTCAGAAACAAACAGTGTATGCGTTCGACTATATACAGTCAATTATCAACCGCGCGGCGGGATGATTCATGCCTCTTTCTGTGGGTCATTCCTTGTTGGTTTTGGTCCGTACTTGGCACGTACGTTGCCTCTTCTTCCGCGTGCCATTCCGACTGGTTTGACCCGATCGCGGCGCGAGATGCGTTGATCGACAGCTTCAACGTTGTGGCATTCGGTGGGTATCTTTCCCGTTAACTGCGGATTGTCTGTCGGGCTGTAGTCATCGATTCCCTCGTTTCGGGTGGCAGTCAACATTGTCTCGCGAGGCACTTCCCGCCGCTACGTCTGCGCGTCTGGTCGGATGAGCCCCATTCTTGATTCGGTCGCTCGTCAGGACTCTCTTTGTACTGCCTTCCATCACAACATGTTAGAACTGGAACGACGAGCATACACCGGTAAATCTTGTCCACCTCATTTAGTCAGATTCTGAACGCGCAAATGCTGAAATCAGTTTCACTAATGCAGTAGTTAGCATTCGCGTAGATCTCTGCGTAGCTTAAATCAAGCTCTGGTATATAAGCGCATATGCGCATACCCTCCGACCGTGCACACGCTTGTTCCTCTATGCGTTGAGTACAGAGCGCAGATAACAGTGAGATGTTCTGGAGACAGCCTATATAGTGCGTGGTTGACACAGTTAATCAATACTGGGCGGAGGTGACTGTTACAGAACGTCACAGAACGACAAGTCAGTCGCGGTCCGAAAACAGCGGTCCACTTTGCTATTGAATGTTACGATAGGCCCATGAGCGCACATGCATGAACACACCCACAGACTGGTCGATGAAATGACCTTTAGGATCTCGTGATACTATGCTGTTGTCCCTTCTCGAGCATAACTACCCATCACCGAACTCTGGTTGCTTTAGGGGTTGTGTAACTAAGCTGTCAAATGGGTTGATCTGGTTGACTGAGGCGCGAAGTTTTCCTTCGTAGCCTCGGGTGATAAGTTGGGATCACTAAACTGCCTCATTGGGGTCAGGAGCCCGCAATGAGCAAAATGGACAGGCCCTTACGATCAGTAATAAAGAGTTTAATAACGGTACTACCATTGATAGTTGACTGTTTGGAGGGAAACTTGTGTACAAAAGCCGGGATCTTTTACCCTGAATCGGTTTTGCTTTAGACGAGAATGAACCAACGCCACGACGACTGACCTCAGTCGGTTGGATAAGAAATGCGAGTTGTGATACGATGGATAGATAAACCGTTTGCGATGACCAGGCGTGTGTGACGATATGGATCGTTGGGTAGGCTGTGACGGCTCAGGTCATGAAAATTTCTGTTCGCAAAATTCTGCTGAGTCTGTGACTATCTTGACCGTCATCGAGATTATTCGTGATGCGGTGTGGGTGGGTGCAGGGTGGATGGCAGGGTCGCTTAAGCCCTTGCACAAATGTTTTTGAGTACACAGCGGCGGTTGTGCACACAAATTGTCACCGCTTATGCTGTGTCTAGTATCTGACGCCGAATATGTCACAACAGTCGCCCACGAAGGAAGGGAGGGGTATCCGGGAGCCTTCGGCCAGGTTCTCAGTGTGATTTGTTTCAGCTACGTGTGAAACCATTGCACTAGTGAGTGACTTAATAGTTCCGGTGTTCAGCCACACCGGGTGGTGATCACGAATCCGTTGGGACCATCGACTAACCGTGCGGCCTATGAACGTTGTTCCACAGGTACACGTAAATGAGTATACACAGAATGAAACCCCAGAGTCAGAAACTTTGTCCATTAGTCACAAACACACAATTGACTTGGATGTGAACAACCTACGAAGCTTGGCTGCATAGAAAGTCTTATCGATTGCGTCGGACAATCTTCTTTGTATGATTTCAGCTGATAGACACCCCTTGAACTAGAATTATTCGTGAATTCCCTTGAAAGTGTGTTACCATATAAAAAGAGAAGCGATCCTGATTACCGACAATGTTTTTTTAACCTGCGCTACACAGTGCGAGGAAAACAAAATTAACAAGTAAAGCAATGGTATATTTGAAATTCATTCTCGCGAAATCAAAAAATAATAATAGTTTCAAGTGTGTTAATGCAGACGAGAAGGACGCTTGAGTAGTATATTGGGTGAACTTACCTTCATCAAAGTGGGCACAGTATCTCGAGCTGTGCCGGTACCGCCAAACAGAAGCAGCATCACCAGATTTCGTCCATTCTTATCGGCCTTCATGACATCGGCTCCCAATTGTATTAGTCGTATACAGGCCTGAATCGCACCTTTGATGGCGGACAAGAGCAGGGGGGTAAGACCTTCTTTGTCTGCTCTGTCTAGATCAGCACCCTTGGTTTGGGATAAGATAGATAAGCTTGAGAGTAGAATTATAAACACTGCTGTGATTTGGGGCTTCATAAACCATGCTTGACTGTATGGCGCATTTATTTAGTGATGATTGAGAATCCTGAGCTCAAATGATCCGATTTTGATGGATTTTTACAAAAACAAAGCTTTTGCTATACACTATTGTAACCAGGTATATTCTAAGAGGGGTAGATCATAGAATCAAAATCAATCTCCGTTTTTTCTCTACTGTTTTCAGTTTTAGACGTGCTGGCGTAAATTTCAATTTTGCGGCATCAGTTTACCATGATTCAGTACTAATTTACTGCTCAGTTAGTACCAGGACATTTAAATGGATAGATTGAAATAATGAACGAAATTCGGTTGAGGGAGAATGATTGCAATGACACATTGGGACCGTAATGGAAACTCCCTCTACTGCCTTGTGGTACGTGGGGCCTTTTTAATTGGCTGTGGCAAGTTGCACATGTTCGGCCTAGACTTTGAGGGAGCCGAGTTCTTTTCCAGGTATATTTTCGCATATGGTATGGGCGTTTTCTTCGACAGCCTCCGTCGCGATTCGGCTTTATTAGATACCCTTTTCAACGAGGGAAATAACTGCAACTTTACACCGGAGATCGGGTGAGTGATCTTAGTCGAAGTTGTGCACTACAGCAATTGGAGAACACAATATTTCTTAAGCTAATCGTTCGTAACAGCTTCAGTTCGAGAGCACGTCGTGGTGCCACTTTTGGCATTCATCATAGCGTAATGCTATTTTCTTGGGGTCTAAAATATTGCAACAAGCTACACACATGTTCCTGCTTAGGCCACCTTTCTGAGACATCGTCGGTGTAATTGGTCCAAGTTAGAATGTGTGCATACTACAAAGTATAATCCGAAAACGCAAGCGGAATAACCAGATGAAATTGTTCTATTTACTGAACAGATCTTTATAACAACCAAAGACAAGGTTGTAGCGCATCGGTGAGTGAGTGAGTGATAATTGGACACTATTGACAAGAGAACAATAATGGTCGAGTTTGTGAACTCTAACCAAGTTGATACTAGATCCAAAAACAGAAATTGACGGAATCCACAAAGTGATCTTAAAACTGATTCCCACTCCTTACAGTGTCACATTCAGAGTTTCATTGAAGTTCAGTCAATTTATTTGGTGATTCCGGTAAACAGATCTGGCAAATGATATACGTTCAACCTCTAAACTTTTCAGGTAAAACGGCGATGGAGATACCCGGAAAGTAGGTGAAGAAAACGGGTGGTCTTTTTACAGTTAAAGGCCTCTATGAAAAACGATATTGTTCTCAGTCACACCTCAGGGGCCCTCAAGTTTGAGGTTTTCCTTTCATCGGTAGGGATTACTTTTCAATTTAGAGCTTAAGATATTGAGAAGGAATAGAACGAATGGTACAGAATGAAACCAGATAACGAACAAATTGCCGTTCAAGTTCCATCCACATCATAGCAATATTGAGAGAAGACAGGATAGAACCGTTCTATCAAACGACCCATAACTCAAATCTCAGTGCGATAGAAAACACACGGAGATTCTGGCCAAAAGCCCACTTTGAAATGTGAGTGTCTTCGAATGGAAGGGTGGGCTTGAGACCGTCGAATCAAAAGTGGCTGTCTATCGACAACAGGATGTTTCAGAATCTCATCGCATAAGTTATGTTCCTAATGCTTACCAAGGGTCTCAAATGGGACGATCGTTCTAGGTTTTACTCACCTGATTCATTTGAATTTATTCTCACATTGGAGAGGAGGTAAGGTTTTTCTCTCTGGGTTAATAATTATTTTACCGGACTACTGTATCAACACATGAAAGTGATAGTCACGGTTCACCCACTGGCGGAGATACCGTGAAACTTTCAGGGGAAGAAAGAAAGGGGGGGGGGAGATATTGCAAATTTTTATTCGGGTGTATTATTACCCGTGTGCTAGTGGACGCTTATATGGATAATCAAGCCAAACCTCAGTTTACCGTTTTCTCCTTCTAAGTTCTTTAATCAATTACTCGCACCACCTATCACAAACAAAAACACTAAGGTCTAAAGTTTATTGGGGGAGGTATTTGTTATTGATTTGAACTGACTACTCTTTGGACTTCACGTTCACTGAGTCAGTTGGTAGTAGGTTTGTACCAAGGTAACCCGTGACCTGCATGGAAGTCCTGACTTGGTGGTAGGCTTTCAATAGGAGTTAACACATACTCCACTGTGTCTCCCTTTCGTTGCTGTCGGGCTAATTTGAGCCGATTGGTTATCTCTGGAGACGACACCTAAACAAACATGAATTAGCAGTTTGGTTCAGCCTTGGCATGAGCTAGTTTGCAGATTGGTAACACACGCGTCTTCTATGCGATGGATCTGGAGTTCAAATCCCGTACGGGGCGGTGGATATGCACTACCGATGGGATCTAATGAGAGCGAAAATCGAGTGTAATGCTTCCGAGTGTATCGTTTGACCGGGTCAACTGAGGATCGCGTTCGAAGGTGAAGTTTGAAGGATAGTCAGTTAAAATCAATATCAATTATCTCACATAACTACTCACAAGTAATTGTGAAATAAATGCGATTATTTGTTATTAAAATAAATCCGGGTTGTATTCTCCCTCACCCTAAAACAACTACTTTTGCCGTTAAGCAAAACATACATCTTTCACTTCGGTTTCTATGCTTTCCGATATGAGTGTCACTCAAATCGATTTTACGAATCACGAGTTCTTTACCGTTTGCTACTCAAGTTGTCCAAGTGTCATTTCAGAATGTCGGGGAATCATTTCAAACTGCTTCGCGATCATTTCAAGCCGTCCCGTTAACTTCAGCAGAGCTGTCAAGTCCATATACTGTTCAAGCCCACAACTGTGTTTGGATGGCCCCAAGCAGCACAGATTTATCAACCGGAGATGCTTACGAGGAGTGCCACGGTCATACACACCCCGAATCCCATGGTGCACCGAAGCCAACATCAATCAGAATATATGAAAAATATATATGTAATGATATTAAATGCGGTGGAAATGTTTGTGATAACCGAAAACAGCACTGGACAATTGTTTTGTTCTGCTTGGGAATTGTCAGCAGTGTGTAGTTTTTGTATCCCCGTCAGGACTATAGCCGCGAAAATTCGGGTCGAGACTTCAAACCCTTACTCCTGAGCTACAATCAAATCTCGATACTCTCTCTATACGGCGTCCCCCAGAAATGAAATACGGAGATATAGCGGATTCCTTCTCAAAGGTCCATAGCTTTGATGAATTTCTTAGAGGGTGTTTGCATTTTCTGTGATGTTCGGCTAGCCGGCTTCTTTAGTTATCGACTTTTTTGGCCAACGTACGTGGCTGTGCAATGTTCAAAACTTCAAAATCAACGTGGCCACGTTGTTATTCTCAGGGCGACCTCCTTATGTCTGAAATCCACCCTTTTTACTTATAAAAGGAACTCTATACTAACAAACCGATGGAGTAGGTTCTTCAATCTCACTCAGTGTAGCAAACATTTTTATGGAGAATTTTGAAGAGGGAATACTTAAATCTAAGCCATCACCACCAAGAATCTGATATATATATATATATATGTAGCAGTTCGGAATATACGGTCAAAATAGTCATTTTCATAGTTCGGTATTTGAAGGGTCAAAAATGAGCTACTGCTGCTTCTATGGGGGCAAAAGAAAAGGAAAATATAAACTGCAAGCAGCACTGGAAGTGGATATGAATCCGGAAGGCAATGGTGCACGTTTTGTAGGTTTTTCCGGGCTCTTCAGAAGCTTGAAAATTGCAATCCTTAACGTTTGATTATCATTTACTATACAGATGGAAAACAATGTTTGCCTTCTTCCACTGAAGTGATTGATTGGATTGTGTGTATTACCACGTACAGAGATAACAAATCCAAGCAAGCTATGTGGTTACCACCGAATAAATCGCTTTCCATCCTTGTACGGTCAGTCGGAATAACATGATAATGCACTTCGCGAGGCTCAAGAAACATCCTGTATTTCACATCGTTCTCAAGTAATGCACTTACCAGTTCAATCAGGTAATCGATAATGTCCGGATGATTACCCAGAGAGGCCTGATGCAGCGCAGTTCTTCCATCCTGATCGACACAATGTATGAGTTTTGATGCCAATTTCGGTTGGTAGTTCAGCAACAATTTCACGCAATCCAGGTCACCTCGGGAGCAAGCAAAATGTACCGCAGTATGGCCACCTTTATCAGTGGACAGAAGGTTTGCTCCTCGATCAAGGCAAATCTACAATCCGGAAACCCGGGGTAACTATTTAATCATAGACTAGAGAAACGGGAATAACTGGAAGACGTTTTATGTCATTCAGTCAATTATCAGGACCCGGTTACAACGGATTCAGAAGCATTAACTGGGCTGATTGAGAAAAGGCTAACAAAGATCATTCGTAGCACAGTTGCGGAGCATAACGTAGATGTCAAAGTGTTATTTAGGGTCCTCTATGGAACTCCAGTAAAATTGTGGAACCAAATGAGGCAAATTATGCTATGTACTGCTGAAGCGATAGCCTCTCCGATCAACCACCCTGGGCTGTGTAAATAAATTGAGGATTATCAAAACGTTGAGGGTACTAAGGCCCAACAATACGACGCATTCAGTCAGTGTTCAGAAAATCAAATGATGTTTGAGTGGTCATTATCGTGGTATTTCATTTCAACAAGTGATCACAACTGTGCAACCTTTCCCTCACAATCACCCAATCCATTTTGTGAATCCTGACACATTTTGCCACCTTGTGTGTATACTTAAAATCAGACGGGAAATGAATGAACCACGAATTGAAAGACTGATTGTGGTTTAAACCAAATCTTGTGCATCATCATTTGATTGTTTTACACAGTTTCTATCTGTGAACTCCAGGAAAAATCTCGATATCCTTTTAAATCAGATCTGCAAGATGCTGATAAATCAGTGGAACTGGTCCACAACATTGTACCTTATTTTGTATTGATAATGTATGATAATTCTTAATGAACCTGTAAAGATGGATTGCACGACTTCTTTTGCTTATCTATTCAGTAATACTGCACTTGGGGGTTTAGCTTTCACCAGGGATGTCAACTTCTTCGCACTTGTCTAGAGACAATAAAAGTTCCAAAATGTGTGCATGCTGTGGAACACGGCCGTTCCGAGCATCGATCTGTATTCTCTACTCGTGGGAACTTCCTGCGACCCTTGTTTCGTCCTATTATTGTGCCCCCAATGCACGACCAATCTCCTCACAAGGGTAATCACAACAGTCGTTCGTAGATATGACAGATTTCGATGGCGCTTCCGCTCCCTTGGCTGTATACTCACCAGTGTATGAACCGAATGTTTTGAACTCGCACTCTTTGGTTTACTAATTTGACCACGAGAGTGATCAAGTTTAGTATTGTTTCGTGAAGCTTAAAAATCATGCACAGGATACATGTTCTGAGGAATTTCTTCAGCAGGGTGCTTACGGACTGTACTGTATCAGTTTCCAAGCTCTACCACCGATTAGGCTCCACGGGTATTCTTCATATTCAGTGTGTTCAGATACGATTAGGTGTTACCAAGCGTATAAGGATATATGTATGGCACAAAAGTAGTTGATAGGGGATAGTACTTTACTCACTTATCTACGGTTCTCCAACCCAAGATAAAATTACTGTGCTAAGACGAAACGTTTTTACAAAACAAACCATCTCCAGCGACGTTGGCTGCATCCGGCCATCAACGATGTAGTTTTCCTTCTTCTGGTTGATCCCGAGTAGACGTGTATCGCGTACGCTCCTCATTTTCAATTTACTATGAACAGTACTCTGATGGTGCTCGCATAACGAAAGATGCTAGCAACCGGCTGACAAAATCACACTTACACCATTCCCTCCAACGCTATTTACAGCGAATCAACCCATGATTCCAGAACGACAGGACCATTACGTAGCCGAGTGGTCGAATATAGTCTAGAGTTCCGCTCTACAAGAAGTACACGGAATAGGATACAATCAACCATAGATTGATAACAACCAAAAATAAATCCGACCAACTCGTCTATCTATTAACGAACACTTACGCCATCAAGCTGACCACGAAAGATCTCCCTCCACGTTGATTTGCTAGTCAAAAACAAAGTTACTTTCCAAACCATAGGATTCAGTGGATAAAACCCAACCTACAAACTGGATCCCATTTCTCTCTTGCTATGATTTGTTGATCGAACGTTACTTTCATTCAAAGGTTAGAAATGCACGCGCACCTGGATGATGGCAATCCCCTGTTATAGGTTGCTGTCACCTTTTTCAGCACCATTTGAGCGTTCCGATGTTTTCTGGACGCTTAAGGGAATATAATTGCGATGGAACTCATTGTTATAACCGATAAAGAGCAATAAACAGGTGTTTCGTCCTGTCAGCAGCGCATGAGTCTCTGATAGGACTCGATCATCAAGAGCCGTACCTAGTGCCTGTGAAAAACCTCAGGTTAATTCAAAAATTCACCATCTCAATGGACTAGGTAATCGTGACGAATTACCATGAATTACAATTCACCAATATCATTTATATTGGTTTCAGACCATATAATATTATGAATAGCATGTAAACGTATTACTGTAATGAACTATAATTTATTCTGAGGGTCGAAAACTAATTATTCAACGAATTCTATACCTTAAAACTTGCTGTACTCCTCTGAATAAAGTGCCACCTTCAGTGTCTGGCATAAGTTTTATGAAGGTGATTGCAAATATTGTTTCCTCCAGGCCAGTTAAAACAAGTTCAGTCATTATCTTAACTGTTAAAATTTAGCCCCCATGCTCAACTCATTCAGTCTCCTCGGATACACGAAGAAATATACAATAAATAAATATAAGTTGCATTCAGCTCTTCTGCAATCACATGGAGTGGGTAACAAAGAAATTTAAGCCCGGCGAATGACTCGGTCTTCAAATTTCACCTTGCAACAATTGATAGTACTGTTTGATTACGACCGCCTAGAATAAAGCAATTCGGACATACCTCAACTAGTGTGAGATTTCCGGAATTCACGGCCATGTGAATCGGGGCAAAACCCTCTCCATCGACCAGATTGATCAAACGTTGCATATCGATCGTCGAGGACACATCGTTAGACCGGATCGAGTTGCGTGAGTTGACATCCGTACTCGCGCTCTTGTCTTCCGGATGAATCCAACGGACAAAAATGCTACTTTTTCTCTCATTTGGGGTTTTCAAAGACAGATACTCGGTTGGAACCAAAGCATTGAGCATCATATGTTGACTGTGCTGTGTTTTCTCGTATTCGAATAGAAGTTGAACACATTCAATCGAAACTTGGAAAACTGCCACATGCATCGCGTAGCTACCCGATTCATCCTTTTGGTAGATATCCGCACCGTATTCCAACTGCATAAGTGCAAATCAAGTGGGATGTGTTCCATTTAATATTTCTTAGCTTATCTCTGAAAAATTTCAAAACTGATTTCAAAAATCGTTGTGCAACCCAGCTTTGAAATGATCAGATCTCTGGGTGGAATCGGGGAATGACTTTGACGACGACTATAGGGAAGATGTTTACAACTCAACTAACTGGAAACGAATGCCCACGAGGCCGTTTAATGAATGATGATGGTTGTTCAGTAAGGATCAACGCTGCATCGGTCCGGAACCATGTTTTCAAACATCATCACCACCACCAAAGGTTACTCTTTCCAGCAATTTGTGTTCTCTGGCAGCCTCCCTGATGGAAAGCTCTCTCTTCCTAGAGAGTGGTCATATCATTACATACACCATAAGGAAAGAATTAATTGTAGAATCTAAAGTACAGAAAGTCTTGTGAATAACACAACTCTGTTGAAAAGAAGTTATGTGTTGCTCAACGGTTCGGCCAATTTGGGTGGTCTTTGTCATGGACATGCGAGTGGGTAAATGAATGAATTGTTGAGCATTACATAACTTCTGCTCAACAACCTTGTGCTGCACGCAAGATATTGTGGATTTTATTAAATGTCAATGATAAAGAACTCATCGACTTCCTAAATTTTGTCACAACGTCTGGGACGATAATGAATAGCTTTCGCTGTTAAACAGTACTATCGCAGTGCTCTACGTGTCCCGGTACGGGACGTTTTTTAATGACTGAACTTGTGGAAAGGTAATATGTTAATTCCCCATGTGGTACAAGATCACTCTGTGGTGTTCAAATGAGGTGGTCCATTATATATATAAACATAATTTACGCGGTCATTTAAATCTTACCAATAATTCAAGACACTGATAACTGTTTGACATGCAGCAGTAGTGTAGCGGAGTTGAGCCCCGTTCATCGGTTGTGTTCACACTAACCTTAGTCCATGTAAGGATAGTCTGAATAAAGAAGAAAGGTGAGGGTAATATAGGGAAATGCATTGAATGAGTGTACAGATCCAGTGCTTTTGCGCTTAGATAATCCGGGATTAGTTTACATTGCACTGGGTAAAGTGAAATTCGGGCGTACATAAAAGAAACCAGCTGGATTGAAGGGGCGCAAACGGGGAAGGGACAGTATAACTGAGAATTAGGCATTTTAAAAAAATTTACAAATTTGGGTGAAAAAACAACAAATGATCAATCAGATCGAAACAGAAACTGTCATGAGATCGATTAATTCTTCAAAATGTCCGTGCTAGTTATGGTTTCAGGCAGAACAAACAGAAAACAATAACCTAAGATTGAAATCTGTCAATTTGTTGTGAGATAACTATTTTCCTGAGGGACTTGGATGCTTTTGGAGGCTTTGCGTTTACAATGGATGCCCAAAAACGTGATTCAACTCAATGATTTTAACGCAGTTGCTGGCGTCGAACAGAAGTCAAGTGATCACGACCACGCCACACAATGTCGTTTTAATTGGAAACATAATACCATTTATCACAAATTACAGAAAACGTCCGCAAACATTTCATTTATTCTGAATGCTCCAAGTCGTTTTCATGCCTCGCTACACGTGCACAGCGCTGTCAAGGTGATCATCTATTCCAGCAGACAAACCAGCAATTAGAACAAAAACACAAAAACAGTACAAGCACTCACGGACCCATCTTCACGTGGAAGAGGGATGGATAAAATTAAGCTAAAGCGGTGTTCGGGGGGAGGGGTGAGTGGGCGTGTTGCGCAGCAACGTTTCTCAGCTTAGAGAGAGTTACTGGCCCTTTTAGCTGGCCGCTTCACCCTTAGTAATTAGTATACCTGGGTGGAAACCGTTTCTGGTCAGAGCATTTGTCAATTTTCGTGCATACATGATGGATAATTTGTAGCATGCATCGATATAACCGTTTTGCTATTATGAACTAGGATTTCAAGTGGTACTGAAGCTGATCAATAATAGCGATATGCATAGGGAATTCTTGCTGCAGTTCTTATTCATTTCACAGATTCATGCGTATGAAAACGAACTGGAATCACAATCGGAACATTAGAAGGTAACTCCTAAGGATCACAATGGTGTTTGTTAGATTAATCAATCAGCCATCAGGAATTATCCATTTGATGATTTTTATTGATCAAACTCTCCAGCGGACTACATCAGAAGCTGAATTATTTACCGCTAAAGGTGCATTGGTTTTCTGAAACCAATAAAGAATCCCGGTAACTAGAAATAGATGATGAACAAACTCTCTCCCACTCTCTTCCGCTGATGCGAACGGTTACTGGAAAACCGTTAAAATCCACAATCGCATAACAGATGCACGTTTAAGATTATGAAATGTTATGTAAAGAGAAAACGACGAAAAGTGGAGGAGTGCGGTTTCTGCATCGTCTTCATGACTGATGTGGCGAAAACTTGAAACTGACTGCGTATGGCACTGACATCTAATTCAGTTATTAATAACTGAACGAAATAGAGTATCAATCGGAACGTATGGGATTGGGGAAATTGTTCACAGTGTAATCACGCTCGGCAATATTCTATCAGTTCAACTAATCCACACATTTTCTTCTTTTTTTGATGTAGATGCGGTTGAGAGTTACTGGTATTCAAATCATTTCTATCAATTGATCTGGCTACATTTGCTAGACCAAGGGTACAACACAGTGCGACAAGATTTTGTTAATAGGAATGAAGTCACCTTGGGTGTCGCACATTAATGAAACTACATCATTAATCCATTGACCCAATGTCGATGTGTGAGAGCGCCAAACAGCCCTCGATTCAGGTCTGTCTGATATCGGTATCGAAAGATAGTAGGAGGTTGGTGATTAGTCCGGCAAGATAGGGTATAAAACGGGTGACGCGGGGTGCGCTCAACAAATGTGGAAACCACCGCTTCATCCGCTCTCAACTTAAACGCACAACTTTCTACATTCACTTGGTGGTCTAATCATAAATACCCTGTAATTCCAATATAATGAATCCTTTGAGGTGAATATAACACCGAATGGCTTCTTTGTGCATGCAGGAGACTGAGAAAGCATTTTGCTTGATTCATGGAGGGTACCACTTCACCAACACCCACTGTAAGCGGTCTAGTAAGGATGAGTTCGTTTTGGGAAAAAATATCAAGCATCATAAGGCAGATTAGTACATTCTCACTTTGAGGCCCTCGAGGAAATTTGTTTCACAGGCCAGATGAATCGGTTGGACTCCATGTTTATTCTTACATAGAATTTGTGCACCGTGCTGAAGCAAGAGCTGTAAAATATCCATTTTACTTCTTTGCACGGCCAAATGCACAGCCCGATTTCCATCACCGTCCACCTCGTTCGGATCTGTTAGGGTATCCATGGGGCATAAACAAACGGAAACAGAGAGAATGTTTAACATGTCATACTTAACTTACTTAGCTTAACTTGTCATATGGATAGGGGCTAGAAGTTGAAGATTATTTATGGTGAACCTATGCCAATTGCTGGCATGAGATGTTTTCTATCAACAGAAGGTGACGTGTAGTTGTACGCAGAGAAAGAAATCATAAAACATGCACATCCTGATCGCATTGTTTACCAGTGGAGGCCTGGTTCGCATGTGCTGCTTTCGGAACAGTGGCAACGCTTTTCAACAGATTTGAATATGGGTGTGGTTTGTTGGTTAGGTTGATGGTTTGTGGGGTCTTGTGTTCGCTGAGCTTGGCGTTTAGATCGCAAACGTTTCATCACCAGCCGAGGTGACATCGTCAGTGCGTTGGTAATGATCCCTGTACTTGTCTTTATTTATAGTATTCCTACCTTAGGTTTGACCTTGAGAATTGTTCTCGCTGTTGACCTTGGAGATGGTACTAAATTTGGTAACTTGACCTTTGGTGGTTGCTATAGAGANCCTAAGGTCTCCAATTTATCCACGAAACAGAAGAGGAGTTGACCGGCCCATGACCAGAAACCCCAAATACCATGCACAAAAGAACCTTCAAATTTATTCTGAAGTACGAAAATGTCAAACGATTAACCAATGGAAGAGGTTTGGTACAACTGCTACTAAATTTAGTAACTCTGACAGGTCAAGGTCATAGTCAGAGGTCGACTGACTAAATCTAGTAACCTTGGTGCGCAAAGGTCATCTCTATAGCAACCACCAAAGGTCAAGTTACCAAATTTAGTACCGTCTCCAAGGTCAACAGCGAGAACCATTCTCAAGGTCAAACCTAGGGTAGGAATACTATAAATAAAGACAAGTACAGGGATCATTACCAACGCACTGACGATGTCACCTCGGCTGGTGATGAAACGTTTGCGATCTAAACGCCAAGCTCAGCGAACACAAGACCCCACAAAGTTTCAACGCTGCTTGCAGCAAATGATGGCATTCAATTACAAAGTGAATAGAATGGCTTACTGGTGTGGGCCGTAATCGATACCACAGAGAGTTCACCCACGAAAACACTGTCTCGCTTGATGGTTGGTACACAGCACATCGCAAAAAGCATAAGCAGGCCTATTGGTGTTCATAAAGATTTGGTTTGTATGACATCTAAAAAAGTTAACATTTGTTTCGACCACATGTTGAGAGTTTCTTTGAATACAATCATGTGAGCAATCGGTTACTGTGGCAAAAACGTAGCAATAAAATCCTAAAAAAGACGTCGCATAAGATGTTTATTGTTTAACCTCAACTCATAAACTTTCCTTGTCTTCTGTGTAGTCCCGTGGAACAAAAATAAAGTTCCTCAAACAGTTTCCACCCAAAATAATGTAATGAAATCTTTCACAACAAATCCTGCTACAGGTGATTATACAATGTTAGCTGTCATAGAAAAACAAACAAACTTGTCTGACCTGCTCCACGTGAGAGTAAAATCCGCACCATTTCGTAGCTCCCAACATGCGTGGCATGATGCAAAAGTGTGCTTCCACTGGAATCCTTTGCATGTACAATGCGTGGTGTATCCAAGACCAAATCGAACAGCTGCCCGACGTCATCTGATACAATTGTCTGCCAAGAGTGAAGATGGGACGAGGTTGCACGTCGGGTTGAAACTCATGGACAATTTTGTGTTATCAGATTTATATTGACCAGTTATTATTTCGTTTGGGGAAATAAATTTTGTTCCCAATTCAATTAGGATCCTCGAATGGTTGACTTTTAGTCATTTATTGATATATTTCAAGGTTTGTTTCCTGAAGTGGGGTTATCCATCGAAGTGTAGTGAAATTGCAAAGCAGGAACAAGCAAATCGTGTAAATGATATCAGTGCACCTTAATCGGACTAAATGTAGCTTATTGGTTGGGCAGTCACTCAGTCAGTGAGTTAGTCTGTCTGTCTGTCTGTCTGTCTGTCTGTCTGTCTGTCTGTCTGTCTGTCGGTCGGTCGATCGGTCGGTCGGTCGGTCGGTCGACATAGATCTAAATTTTTTACCTGCTTCACGTTTATTTTGTAAAATGATTCCCTTGAATCTACACGACTGTTTTCTTCACGTGTTTCCCCTCAGATGGACCAATATTGGCCCATGGATTTACTCTGTGTAGTATGTACATTAATATATATTTCGATAGAGAATGCAGGTGTAAAATGAGTTGTGAAATATTTACTGGAACGTTGTGACTGAAACCAGGAGTCATTATCAGACATCAGTAAAATGAACCAATATGTATATGCAAGAGGTCTAACACAACTCCGGCAGCTCAATAACGTTCAGAATAAAAGGCTGAAAGACTGAAAAAATGGCAAAATTTATACATATTGTCCTAGGGGTACTTCGCGGTTTACCCCTGAAAAAAAGTTTACAAGGGCTCCCAAAACACTAACGGACGCAGATCAACTTTCTCAGTCTCCGAAAGCTATGATGAAAGCTGTGAAAAGCTCCGATGGAGAGCTTTAATGATAATCCGTGTTAGCGGACGAACGGTACAATAAACGCTCAAACCTGTACCGTAGATCACATCTAAATTTAAATTCAAAGATCGCGTGCTACCATAATGTTGAACGGAGAACAACTTTGATCCTAGGCTTAAACGGACGTAGCATTCGAAAACAAGTCTGAAAATGTCTATGCTAGTGAGTATTTTAGTTGGAACCCCATAAACAGTGTGAAAACGAACATATTTTAAAACTTTACTCTATGAAACCACTTTCCAGGTTCATAGTGGATTCATCTCTGAAACTAAATTATTCTCATGCACTGGAGTGGTATTTTAAAGAGTGTCGGGAGTATGATGACCAAAGAACAGATGGTGACGTTTGCGGAGCATGAACGCCAGAAATCATCTCATGAAACAAACAAACACTCAAAAGCGTTCGTAATCATAAAAATGATGTTCGTATGGGATCCATGGCACTCTGATATACGGGCAAAATCGCTGAAGTAGGAATATAATTCCCTTATTTTAGTGCTAAATGAATCTCTATTCTGTTTCAGGAAGCTGCCTTCATCTTTGAAGGAATCTCTTTTAATATCCGTTATTCTATTTCAGATCTTCAAACATACCACTAATTTATTCCCTACAAAATATTATTAAACTATTTGTCTTTATTGACAATGTCCTTTACATTGTGTGATATCCCCTGAAACTTCTACTCTGATTGAGGACTGCTGTTGCAAAATGTTACGTGATTACTTGAATTTATGGCCCACTTTCTGCTCGCCAACCTTCTGTGTTTAGGTTTTTATAGATACATTTCCCTCCACGTTTGCAACCGACATGAGGAGCCGTGCTAGCTAGCACATCTATGATCGTCGAAAAAACCTGAACCCAGGCCACTCGTAACGAGACGTATAAAGGACTACAGGAATGCTGAACGTGTGACTACTCTAGGGTGCATTTAGCACCCCTAGATGTCTGAGGAAGGTGACTAAACTAATCCGATATGCTTCCTTGATGGGTCACTGAATGGACGTACCACTTCATTGTTTTGTGTGCACGATCACTAAGTTGTGGGCTCGGGTGTGGAACCTCTAGTCAGTCTGCAAAGCAGAATTGAGCAACAAAATACTAGAATGGTGCACAGCATCGAATGACTAGAAATTACTACGAACAATGATTTTGGTTCTTGTACTCATGGTCATACCCGTAACTTTTCAACTTTTTTTACTTTACGAATACCATTAAGAATATTAGGCTCTGTATTAAACAATTACAATCAATTTGCTTTGAGCAAACTATGCAGAGAACACAGTTTATACCGGATGATATCACTTGCAGGAATACCACAAATTCCTCAAACTAAAAACATATTCTGGATGCAGGAAAAACTCCGAGGATCAGGTATACACTTAAAGGATAAAGTACTACTCAAATAACAAAATTCTTGGGTATATTCAAGTTGTGGGAGCATATTTCTCACTGATTATTGCCTCTATCGCCATCTGAATGCATCCAACGAGTCGGGGTAAAAATAAACTTGATAACCTACGTCATTGTGTTTCCTATACCCGTTATATATACTATTATATTTTCCAAGTGAACTGAACCATATGGGTATTGGTAAACTCCCATTTCATACCTGAAAAGCCAGATTCAAATTGGCTCGGTCATCATTATCTAGCTGCATTGAATGACGTGGCCAAAAGCGATGATATTCCAAGAGACCTTGATGCAATACCGCGTCTTTCAACTTTTTCTTGGCGTTACTCAACTCTCCGGAACCCAAACCATCGACTCGTGATTGTAGACTATGCAACAAATTGATCAGCATATCTCGTGTACGCCAACGTTGCAGTTCGTCTGGCACAATTGTCACAATCTCCGTGGTTTTTGTCTTGTTCCGTTTCGTTTTGAGTTCAAATGAGGATGGAGCGATGGAGAATACCGAAGTCTCGTCGGAATAGGTGTTGGTGTCATCGAACGATGTTTGCTCATACCCGGGAGGAACCTAGAGATAAATTGTGATGCATGACCGATGAATATTCTACTCTGGGTAAATGTAAGGCAAATAATTGTCTTGATGCGTTATGTGCAACGAATGCGGTGCTAGGGTGGTCAGTATGGTTCATATATTTGTGAAAACAATACACTGGACACACAGGCACACAGATTCACTTTGTAAGCCTAAAAAATACCCACTCATACACCTATTTGTTTTAGCATACAGACGTATGTGAAAAAGATATTGTAGTACACCTTTGTGATTTATCTCGTGATCGCACACTCATAATCATCTGTGCGTATTTATGTTACTCACCGTCTTTACCAATGCCGTACTCGTAATCAATGATGCTTCATAAAATGCGCAGCAGATGAAATATATGTTGTGACAGACTTGGTGCACAGGCCATTGTATTTAGTATAGTAACGGTATATTCGTTTGGATAAATGGAAGATGATGTGTGAACTTATGTAACATAAGATTTTGCACTTTTCCCAGGGGTGCTCTTCTTTCACGAGACCTCCAAGCAAGGGCTGAGCTGTGCCTAGCATAAAGACCGCTTCCATGATATTAGACTGAACTTTTGCCATCAAGCTCTAGCCAAAACCCACAATCCTTTAACCTTCACCTACATTCCTTTAGGCAAAACCCGAAATGCTGTGGCCAAGACCGTAGTCCTTTTGTCTTGACGCACGAACTTTAGTCACGCAGTAAACGGATGTTGAAAAAATAAATTTCTACAAATGTTGATGTTGCGAGGCTTGAGAAAGTGTGGGGGTTGCGTGCTGCAACACATGTTGATTGGAAAAGGTTTGACCGATGTGCCCATATCGTCAAACCATTTGACACATCTCGTACAGTTTCAGTGTTTCTGTATAACATGCGATACTCTTCGTAGTGAAAATCACAAGTGTAACCCAAACGATAAGTTGTTTTGTGTTCACATGCCCTGAAATAAGTCAAAAGGTATGTGCTTACCGTTTCGTATACTCACTTTAATTAAACTCTGCGCTTTAGATGTGGATACGTTATCAGGAAGCTATAGACAAAACCCGTAATAAGTAAGCCTCTACCGTGGTAATTATGTTATATGTTGCAGCTTTAATAAACTGATGATAATTATGAGGGTGTAAGTTTACGAGCGGTTTATTATCGTCAGCACGTTTATGTATCCCGTTCCGATGAGTAGAGTTCACTCGTGAATGCAAAATAATGTACGGTTGGAGTTACACTTCAGATTTTCACTTCTAAAAGTATCGCATGTCATACAGAAACACTGAAGCTATACGAGATGGGTCAAAGGATTTGACGATACGGGCATATCGGTTAAACCTTCCCAATTCAACATGTGTTGTAGTATGCAACCCCCACACCTTCCTATTTCTTAATCAAACTTTGCAAAATCAACATTTCTAGAAATTAATTTTTTCAACATCCGTTTACGGTGGCATGACTAGAGTTTGTGCGTCGAGACGTAAGGACTACGGATCTTGGCTAAAGCATTTCGGGTGTTGGTTAAACGAATGTGGGTTTTGGCTAAAACTTGATGGGAAAAGGTGTAGTTCCCTCATGTTAGCAACACATTCTATATCGATATTACTACTAGCCAATCGTCTATCCAGATAAAAGAGTGAGGCTTGGCTAGCTTGCCGAGGGTAGGCCAAAGATGATATCCAGCGCCATCCCCACACAGCTGAAAAATTTTTTATAGACACCAGTCAAACAGTTGGGCATTGTTCTAACTCAGTCCTGATCCGGGAAGACATATTTGTGTGCGCACACTTGTCATCGCGTTGTCCACTAGGATTACCTGTTTGGCCTCTGTGCACAAAAACGTTTGATTCATGCCGTGTACATCGCACCGTCGATATGGTTCGATATATATACGGAACGATCAAAGCTGTCAAGATGGTCTCGTAAATCAGCTGGTAGAATGTGCGTCGTGGACGGTGTTCATGCAGCGGTTTGACTCTCTCTGAGGCTCCTGGTCTCATCACCACTCAAAAATGTAAAGCACAGCTTTTCTAATTTGACTATGACTTCGATTGAGGGAAACATGGAATCTGTGGTTTTCCGTTTCCAACGTATACTGTAAAGTACAAACTGGCGGCACACGAACAATTATGCTCGAATTACTATACCGGAGAAGCAGCGTTTCTATTTGCTAACAGTTGTATGCTTCAAGAATGGAACCCACACAATTATGAAATGGTTGCATGGTATTTACCTCTTCTCCCTCCAGACCAGCTCTATTCTATACCTATTCTATTGAGACCAGGTACGAGTGTGGGTTCACCTCTTTTCATGAAAACAATGGAGTTCATTCTTTAAGTTATGCTTCACACAGAGTTGTTTCACACGCATATACAACGCAAAACTTACTTCATTTAATAATTAATCATAAAAGCGTTCACTATTTTTCTTCGTATTTACCTAATCTCATTTGGTGCGTTCATTTCCAGGTCGCGGAATAATCCATATTCAAATGTTATCGTTCTATCCCAGTAATCAATGGTTGCTAAGACTTAGGATCTATACTTTGGAAATCCATTGTCGACATTCTTGTTGATCCATGGGATTAGTTCCAAGATATGCACAATATGCTGCTCAGTCAGTTCTCTTACGGTCTGTTCTCTGTCGCGCTCAATAGGCTTTAGATCAAACGATGTGGCAAACTATAGAAATTACAAAGTATTTTATTTAAGCATCGTTATTATTCTGAGAACATCTAGTCTTGTAGGACATTCGTAAAAGAGCGACCGAAATTTGACCGTCCTCAAGGAACAATTCAGTTCAAGTGCAAACGGAAAATATATTTATATAGAATAAATACTTTTGGTCAATAATCTTTCATGTACCGAAACTAATGTGTTTTAGAAGGGTTTAGATCCTGTTTAGGGCAATACTGCATTTTCAACAGATCTTCCTAACGAGACAAACCAGAGTCAGTGGCTTCACAGGGAATGGTACTATAGTGCAACCTGATGAGGTTTATAGTCAGCGCATTAAACAATTGCATATGCTTGTCTAAAAACGTGGACAAAAAAACGAAACACGACCACTATCTGTGAACACTGATGAACGAGTAAAAACAAGAATGAATTAAATCAAGACCAGTATCTGTTATACGCTAACTTACGAGATCACTCATATTCCCTTCCGGCTTTCAGCTAATAAATGGAATCAGTCTGCTGTTCGTTAAACACGATATCCATAAGCGATTGTTTTCTCTCAGCCAAGTTACTTGCTCACGTATTTGTAGACCAAAGAAAAACTGATTTGCTCAAACTCAGCCAATCCCGACTTTGCTAAAAGCATTTATTACATGTGGGGCCGAAACACCACGTTTCTGAGATATCTGCTACTCATACCGTCGACCGGAGACTAGCGGTCCTAATCACTGTCATTGAGACGTACACTTATCATCAGGAGGATCTTAGCGACTGGCCATTAGGCCAGTGCTTAGCGAACAAACAAACGAGTGAGAGTTTGTACTGTGTGGGGGTTGGCGTGGGACTGACGAGTCGATTGTTGGGGGTGGTTGAGCACTTCGCTGCCACACTTAATGAGAGAAAAAGGAATCAAAGAGAAGGCCAACATCCAATTGGTTCACTGGTTCTGTCTTCGGAACCAGCTAGTTGACACCACACGTATTGCTTTAGGTATTCGTTGTTTTACACTGAGTGACAGAACGCTTTTTTAGTTATAGTAACTTTAGTATTCGGAGGCATATTCATTGCGCTGTAAATCTGAACGTTTTGATCAATTTCATGCTGATTAGTGTACGAGACCAGATTGGTTTTTCGCGATGAACAAGACGAAACGAGTTTGTCTGAGGGAATTAAGTAACTGCGTTTTGTAGGAAAAACTAATCAAATTTGTTTCTGCGATATCGTTACCGGACATTGATGTAGTAGGATATTTGAACAATTATTAGACCACTTAGTTGAAGTAAAATAACATTTTGTCAGCAATGAATACCAGTATCGCAATTATACCTGTATATGCATGGCAATAACTTCGTGTGTTTTCTATGAATAGGAGTCCACGTTTAATATAAAAAAGTGCAATAAAATCTTTAAAATCAGATGTCCAGATGTCAAAATTTAACAAACAGACGAATATCACCCACAGAAAATGCTGCCTTTGTTTCTTACCTCCATTAGTTGTTCAGTTCAGTACGAGTACTGAGGATCCATTGGTTACGATACCAACTAAACAACGAATGAGCAGAAAAATAAAACACTGGCACTTTGCCATAAATCATTGAGAACCAGATTTTTTCAATACTTACGATTTAATTTTTAAGTACTCGGATGAACGATATACTTCCAAAACACTATTAGCCGTCAAGTACTCACAGACTGCAAAATGAATCATGTGGTCAGTGAGCGCTGTTCTCTGTCGTCACCCTTGAACAAACATAAAGAACAACTTAACTTGAAAATGAAAATGAAATTGACTTTGCCGATGTTGAAATACGCAATGATTTTATTGTATTGCACTCTATTCAATTTAATTTGCTCCATGGTTTGTGACAAAAGGTATACGATAATTTTCTTGTTCTTGATAGAAGCATTATATCGAACCGCGGCTAAACATTCCACCCGTTCAGAATAAATTGTTAAACAGAATTGAAATTTGAAGCATCAGTTCGAGGGAAAATAGTGATCTTCATCAGTGGGGATTTACACTTGGGCAAGAATTGTGGTGTGGCATTTTCCACCTTTAAACCCCGGCGGGAATTTCCGTGGTCAGTCGAACACCCGATCGATTGCGAAGCTCTCAAAACCTGAACAAAAAGGCATAGTTGTGAAAATGTGGTTAATTAGGGTATTCTTGTTGGATGACCTCCCTGTGTGAACAGGGTCCACACAGGATTGAAGGAAGACGAAATACGTGTCCCATTTATCCTATTCACGTTAGTGAAAGCTATTAGAAATTGATCTGAAGAAAGATTATTGTCGGACTAAAAAGGATAATGGCGCTGTTTTGGGATCTTTTCA